GCTATATATCTACAGGCTATATTTTTGGAGCATTTCTTGTGACCTTTGCAGTACTTCGCTGTCAGTCTCCGCGATCCTGTGAAGTGTAGAGGTGCTGTATACCAGGTACATTTTAGACAGTAGTTTTTAATCACCGTAATTAAATATTCAACAAAGAACATATTTATCACGTAACTCCCACTAGCAAAAAGTTTCCCCCCAAAATTGTTTCGCTAATGTAAGAATATACCAAAACACCAATCACACAGATGTTTATAGCAACAGTTTAAAACAAGGTAATTCACATACTGAAGCACAAAGAGTATAGTACCACTGCTGTTTAAAATGTACAAGTACTGTTTTAATGACCTGAACGGAAAAAAGCGCAATATAAAACTGACTATCGTCACTCCTCTATCCAACTGCAGCTCATGGCTAACCACCTACTGTTTAAAGGAAGAGTGGATTATTTTATAAATAATGTTTTGACAGCATTTGAGAATTTTTTAAAACAGTACTGTCGTCGTGTGTTTTGCTACTGTAAATATAATGCTAGTATAGTACGTTGTGTTTCAGTCCCTGGTCTTGCAGAACCAGTACAGTTTGTCCGCAAGTAAGCCAATGCGTGTAGGCGTGTATTTGCAGTCCCCCAAGAGATGACAACATTGTGAAACATTCAGCTTTGGATGAAAGCACGCAGCTGCGTATACGAGTTATGTCCTAAGCCACTGCGAATTGTAAGGAGAACCGCAGGGTTTTATAGCATGCATAAATGGAGCTAAGGAAATCAGTTATTTTAAATTGCCTCAAGATAACAAAATACCGTATTTTATGTAATCTCATGTGAGCTTCAGAAAAATCATAAAAGCAGAGAGTTGTGTTTTTATAGCATAATATGTAGGACTGTGACTTAGCCTTCACCAGCCTCAAAGCAGCACCACGCAGAGGATGGTCGCTGTCTCCGGGCGAGGAAGAGTCACTCCTCCAGTTTTAACTGCAAAAGCGGCAGAATGATATTGTTCAGCCCAGAGAATTACTGTTCTCCTGTCTTCCCTGAAAGTAAGATTTTAAAAATACAGCAGTAAGTCTAGTAGATGGGGAGGATGCCGAGCGGACAGCCCAGTCACGTTAAGATGACTCTCTCCTCCTCTGATGCTGTAACATGGCTGCCAAAGCCCTTCTAACATGCAAAAGAGGAGAGTGGGACAAGCCAACTCCAGTATGTTGTCTGCAACTGGTAAAGACTGCTTTGTATCTCAAAACCTAAGGTGAATCTTTTTCCAGAGGTTAAGGGAAAACTTGTTGTATCGGTTGTTTCCAGTTTGTGGAAAAAAGTATCTTTAAAATAGTCATGAATAAATGGATGATATGGAACAATTATTCTGAAGTAATGCTAGTGAATATACGTCACAATAATACTTAATAGCTGAAATGTACTGACACAGAAAATTAAAGTCAAATAATTGAATATATTAATATGCAAAGTTTTGTTGGTATTTTGAAATTAAACTATTTTTGTTGTGCCTCAAATTCAAATATAAGCCTTACAAATATCCATAGCCTCTGTTATAAATTAAACAACTTCTAAACGATACTTGTCAACATTCAAATCTCAATAAACTTTGGCAGCTCTTTGGTAAATATTTATAAATATCAATTAACAAAACAGTAAAAAGGGAGTGGGGAGGCTACCAGCAGGGAGCCTCTTTTTTTTTTTTTTTTTTTAAAAATTCCACGATGGGGAACAGAAATGAGAGAGCTCCCTAAGCAAAAACTATTTCCAAGATTGGTATATTTTAATGAGATTAGTAGCTCATCTTTCTTTTCTCTGTCTATTGAAATACTACTACATCAGGATTTTAATAAATTTCAGACAATTTTTTGTGCTCTACCATATATACATACTGAAAATTTATACACAAACAATAGTGGCTGTTTACGAGTAGAGTTAAGTTTCAGTGCATTTGACAATTCATTATTGCACACAGAATAATCTCAAATGCCCAATTATTCTACTGGATAAATGTAGCAACAAATATAACCTCTTATATTTTTGAACATCTATCTTTCTGTAAAATCTTGTGTTGGTGACACCTTAGGTGCCAAAGAAGTGAAAGGATCTGCAGGGGATCTGTTGCTGGTTATTCTTGATGGTATAGGAGGTGCAGGTGGTCTTCTTGCTGGCATTGTATAGAAGCAATCAGTAGAACTTTTATTCCAGTCATTATTAAAGTTAAAGTCTGAACCAAGAAAAGTGTTTTGTTCAGTGCCCAGCAAATCTGGGGATCCAGCTGACTTCCTGGAACCGATTCGCTTAAAATCTGGAACACTTTTAGATGGCTTTAGCTTTACATTGAAATTCTCCTCCTCATCATCAAACGTTACCCATCCTTTTGGCTGTACATTTTTTACCATGAGAGATTTACTTCGCAAGCAAAAAGTGCTTTCAGATGCATCAACAGAAAATACAGGCTTGCTTGTATTACAACTGGGGGGATTTAGAGAAGGGAAAGGATTGCAAGCGGCACGTCCTTCTAGCAAACGTGAAGTTATTTCAGACTCTTGTGTTTCCATTCTAAATGGGTTTCCAGCATTAGGAGTTCTTTCAGTGAATGGATTTGTGCAGTTCAGTCCAGTAATAAATGGATTTGGAGAGCTGCGCATATGTTCCTGGGATGCGTTAAAGGTTGGAATAGGAGGCATTGCTGGCATGCAATTTACAGTATTCAAAATATCAGCATTTCTTTGTGTTGCTGAAGGCAACTGTATCAACTCCTTTTGGTTTAAAGTCGGAACAGGTGATGTTTGAACAGACGTCTGCATTTTTGACACAAGCAGCTTAAATGACAAATCTTCAAAAGGGTCACTGTTCAACTGTGTTTCAAGTTTAGTGCCGTACGTTCCATTTGTTTTAATCTGGAAAGAAAACAAGGTGCTTAGTAATCACATGACGCTCTGTTTTAAGATTACTACTAACTCCCCATTTCTCACGCTTCTATGAGAATAAAAGAAGCTCTTGGGGCTTAAACTGAAGCTTCAATACAATTTGGTTGTAACTTGCACAATGCACTTGTAGTAGAGTGATTGCTTCTCTTCTGGAAAACAATAACCCTTAACCCCTTCTCTGAAGAAAAGCCTATGTTGTTAAACAATTTTTCCCCTTGTTGGTTGATGCAACTTGAATCTACTTCATGCAGGTCGGAATTCTAGCCAAAAGCACTAGTGGACACTGTATAAAAAAAATGTTTAAGAAATTTGGGAAATTATCCTGTATTCTAAACAAGTGATAACCCAGCACAAATACGAAATAAAAAGGTCTAGGTTTCATTGAGAGTTTATAACACTGATGTTACAAGCAATATTTAAGCATCACAATGAAAGGAAAAATTAGTGTTATTAGTATATGCACTTCAGAAATTTCCATGTAGACATATGCATCTGTAGGCATCTCCAGTGCTTCTTGACATGTGAAGGTATGACCATCAGTTTGTAATATTTTAAAATGGCAAGTTATCATTGTTTAGAATAATACCAAATGGAGAAGACAGAGTCTTCTCCACAGAACTTCTCATCTTTTAAAAGCAAAATATTCCTGGTTTTATAAATTTCTTCAAACAACAATGCAACTTTCATACCTTGTAACAACTGTCCAAAAAGGTAGAAGAATATCTACCTTTGTTCAAGTCATCACAGTGACAGAATAGAATTTGGAGCTTCCCGTTATTAAACGAATGCAAAGAATTGAGCTTAAGTTAAAACAGCTTCTGAGAATTCAAATTTCACAAAGAAATTTGTCATTTTAACACATCGCCTTAGTATACCCAAATAGTTTGGATATTTAGCATGAAAATTCTGTTAAGTAATGTTTTGTTGAACTAAGATGCTAGCTAAAGCTATCAACTAAAATACAGTATTATTATAACCTACCCTCAATCTTTAAACATCTTGTTTTTACTGCATTTATTGTGAACTGTTTGAAGCGTGTCTCCACATATCCACTGCCTAAGCAGCTACGCAAAATTAGTCTACAGGCTTTAGAGACTTTCAGGAATAATAAGAATATTGTAAGTTTTCCCCAATGTATCCAGAATAGCAATTTCTTTTAAAAAATTGCAGTTGTAGCTTGAATGGTTTGGCAGGAGCAATGAAGTATGCTGGCAACAATGCATTTGCTCTGGTGGTTTGTTTGAAACAACATTGTCGGTTATGCATCCCTGGCACTATGTCAGAGAGTTTCTAAAATAGATGAGGCCTAATGTTACCAAACCATAAGCAGAGTAGTTCAATATTGGTATTTTTATATGTATATAGTAAGTGGTTTGGAAACTAATACTAAAACAAAGGCATCAAGTAACTAAGGGGAGAAATGTGAAAAATTGAACTGTAGAAAGAATATAAATCAAATGCAGCTTGGCACCAGCTGGTTATTCTATGTTCTGTGTTCATTAACCAAGTAATCAAAAAGTACAAGACCCCAACAAAACTATGAATCCCAACTGCTCTTTACTGTAAGTAAAAATTTGCTCTGAATAATTCTGGAACCAAATGGTTTTAAAATTGTAACAAACAGTATATTTTACTTCGGGTAATAGTAAGTTATCTGTTCTTTGAGAAATGTGAAATATGGGGTTTATTTTGAAAAAACTTTGGCAGTGTAATTGCATCAGGATTTATTTGTATTAAAGAGAAGTAACTCCAACACCTACTCATTTTTTTCCAAACAGACCGAGACCAGCAGATTCAGCAGTGACTAAGCAACATTACGTGAGGTTCCAATTGTTTCATAAAAAATGATGAAGCAAAATATTTGCTATGGAGCTAATAAATACAGTTAACTTTATCAATTTTAATTGCATTAAGAAAGGAAAAAGCAAACTATGGTATGACAGTCAATTCATTAATGTGGACAGGTGATTTTTAACACGGATGAGACTGCAGATGTATGAAAACAAGATTCATACATCTTTTCTGCTTGAATAGATGGAGACCACATACAAGATTGGTAAATAATCAGATACCTGTTACCCTGATGGTTGCTCCTGCTTGTGAAAGAGAAACAGACATCAAAGGAAAGAAAATTAGGAAGAAAATCCAAGTAACAAAGCAACCTCATGTTAAAAATACTTCAAGTTTTCACAAAGCCATTTCTGCATATATGAATACAAACCAAAAATATTTATTACACACTATGCTAAATTCTAAATTTCTGTTGTATGCTATTGTAAGACTTATAAGCTCTACCATTAAGAGTCAAAAAAACCCAGCTCAAGCCAATTCTAATGTTAGTTCCATAGAGACATTCATTGTGCAGCCGATTGTGCTATTTTTTGAAGACTTCTTATAAGAACTTGACTCCTGATGGTCTAATTCTAACCATCTATTAACATGAAAAGCACTATAGCCCTCACTCTGGGAACTGTGTTGGTGTAAACACTCATGTACAGTAATAGTTTTTCAAGCTGAAAAAACTGTAAGACTTCTAATTCAATCAAAACCCAAAATCTTCTTAATTTAGAATAAATAAAACTATTTACAAAAACTTTTCTTTTTTAATGTATTGCTCGGTAATCTCTAGAGTCCTAGACTCTAGAGTCTAGAGTATACAAGCAATTATTTTTATAAGGGGAGATCTAGGTTCCTGAATATTACAATGAATATTACAATGAAGCTTTGAATCAAAGGATGGGCTTGGAATGCACTAGCTCTCAAAAGACTCAAAAGACTTTGTATTTATTTAAAGACCTATTCTCAGAAAACTTCATATTTACAAATCATAATCAAGAAATGAAATAAACATTATTTAACTAAACAAAAAAAAAAAAAGGAAAAAAGGAAACTGAAATAAAAAACCTAAGCTGGAGACAACAAATGAAGTTCAAAGTGGGCCTTCCTTGTGGTTGCACAGCCTACATTAATCAAAGAAATCTGACTGCAGAGAAAATTATAGCTCCCTGAACTAGTGTTAAACTATGGGGTTTGGATATTGTTAACAAGATAGCCACAGCATTACATAGCTCAAAAACCTGTTTACAGTGTTGTTGATTGCTGGGTATACACACAGATAAATGTAATTTTCATAATAATTTTGAAAGAACTGCTTGCACCTCTTTCACAAAATGATCAGTGGTGAAACTACATTTAGAAGGTGTGAGGTTTTCAAAAGTGACACAATGCAATCTGTTTCTATTCACAAAATTGGTACTTTCTCAAGTGCCTTAAGCCTCCATGTATATTCTCTGCTGGCAACACTTCATACTTTATAATAAACTACAAAAAGTCCTGATATTCTACCTGTATGTTCAAAAATATCCTCCATTTTTTTGGCCTAAAGTTCGAAAATGAAAAAAGTTAGAGGCAGAGAGAGAGAGGTTCAGCAGTAAGAAAGGAAGAACATTTAAAGATTTTTCAATTAGAATTCAAAATCAGCTCACTGAGGACTGAATTTGGCTGCTTCATTGTGGTACAAAATAGGTATTAACTAACTGCTTTAGTGAAAGCGGGCTTCAGATGTAGAGATAAGGTAAAATCTGAAATACCGATGAAAACTTAATACTTATAAATATCTACAGCTGAGTTTATGTTTAAAAAAACCGAACACCAGAAAACAAAAGCACAAATTTACTCTTGGTAAGAACTGGGCACAAATCCATCAGCTTCAATAAATTTGTGCTTTTATTCAAGTAGTGTATTATCTGGCCTAGCACCTGATACTGTAAAAACTAATAGCACTAGCCTTTAGTGAAGAAGTTTAGCCTTATGTATATATAAACGACACTGAAAACCTACTTCTGCCTTTCTTAAACAGTAGTAAGAAACTAATGCTTCTCCTAGAAAAAGCGTTTTTTTTTTTTAAAAGAACAGTCTAAATGGTCCCACAGAACAGTACATTTATGTTACTATATTAAATTTTCAGATTATTTTGATATGCTTGTATGTTTTAAATCACACTGGCAAATGGGGAGAAATGTATTTCTGTTAAGTATCTATCAGTATCGTATTCCTGCAGTGAATTATCGTCAACAAAAAGCACCTTATCATGCAATCTATAAAGCTTGCTTTATAATCAAAACCTGTGTTAGCTAGTTACCGTACAGTTTAAGTCATGCATGTGTCATTATAAAAATTAAATTTCTTAGACTAAGTATTTTTCCATACAAAGTTGTCAAATGACAACATAATTTTAAGAACAAGCTGTCCGTAAGTTGTAAGTCTGTCATATAAAATCTTAAGTTAAATGTTTAGTATTTGAGATGTTAGTTATTCATGGACAATACATAAGCAATTAAGTATTATCCTACTAGAGGCTGATTATGTTTTAATCCAACCTTTTGACCTTTATTTTTGTTTGTTTGCTTGCTTTAGGAGTTTCTCACAAAGCTACCACATTCAGTACAAGCTGTGTTAATTTTCATAATGAAAAAAGGTATATACGAGCTTTTTTTACTTACTTGCTGCTGTGAAGGAGCAGATTCAGAAGGCAAACTGTGAGATGATCGGCTACGAGGAGGCGGTTGTGGGGGTTCCAGACTTTGTGGGGCACTTGTCTGAGGTGGATGCGATGCCACAGGTATGAGAGGCTCCTGCATCCTTAGCACAGGCAGTGGCTGAGTGGTGGGCTGAGCAGGTCCAGCAGCCTGAGGCTTTAGTGGTTCAGGAAGCAATGGTGAGCCTGCAAGTATATTTGCAGTGTTTTTCATTGTAAAGAACTGTAATAGAAATCTTAATGGCATGAATGAGAACACGTGGCTGTGGAAGCACCAGACAGAACTGCAGAAGAAGGGGCTGTAAGAATGGCAGGTGTTCATGGCAACTAGATTAGAAGTCATCAAAAGCTCAGCATATCTCCATTAAAAATTATTACTATAGATACAAAACAGAGAACCAGAAAACATGTCATTCTTAAGTGTACTTCAGTTGTATTTAAAAGTATTTTGGAAGTCACAATTATAAAATGCGTATTTTGATATTAATACAATTTTAAAAAAACCCTTTAAGTTTAGGAAATGGCTTTGAGAGTCAAACATAAACACTATTCCAGTTATGATTACGGAGAAACCACTGCAGAGAATGATCCAGTGATCAACACCTATGATAGGACACACCAATGTGCCCAGATCAGGACACAGCAATCTGATCAAAGTTTCTCTTGATGGCGTGAACTCTGCGGGTCTAGATCTCCTCTGTCTGCTGCCTATTATCTGATAAAGGTTTACAATACCTGTGGGTGATCAACACTAACAGAAACTGCCAAATGTTACTACATTCGGGAATCTTTAGTGAAAAACGAAGACATCTGTTGAAAACAAAGCATTCAAACCACAGGCTCTTGACTGAATAGTGACATTTATATTTAATGTCTAACGTAAACTTACCCCTTGGTGGTTCAGCTGGTTTGGTTTGAGTTTCAGGTGCTGGTCTTCCCCCAGAGGGACGGACATGGCTTTGTGGTGCACTAATAACTCCAGCTCGAGGTGGAACAGTCTGACATCATAATTGATAAAAAGAAATTATTTTAGCTCTACTTTGGATCTGTAGTCATCTACTGTTAAATGATTCAGGATAATTAGGACTCTGTGAAAAGTAAATTCTTTGATAACAGTTGCTGAGCTAATTTTTTATGCACATATAAAAGCAAAGAATATATTCTCAAAACATTATGAGGGTTCAATTCAAAGCAAAGGATTTTTACAACAGTTTTCAGCTTTTATATAAATACTTACCTGTGCAGCAGTGTTTGAAACACTTATTATTTTGTTAGTATTAGCAAGTTAATTTTACCTAAGTCTGTGAATTGTTGTAAGCCACAAAACCAACAATTACTTTATTTGGGGATCTCGTAAGGACACATTGATAACCCGCTATCAATGCAGACTGTAGACACCATCTACCTTTTAGGCAATAATTATAGCCTGCCATTTGCAAACAACAGCTACAGTCAATTTTATATAGTGAAAGTCCAAGAAATGTATAAAAGACCATGGTTAGTTCTTTTCTCTGAAACTTATGTTTGCTAACTGTAAGGCAGTTACTCCTGTTCCTCAGCAAACAGCATTAACGAAACATACATTCTGCCTCATCTGAAGGCTGGAGTCTTCCCAAACTTGTTGGAATAGAAGTTAATATGCTGGGAATGGAATTGCTCTCATGAAAGAAAATAAAAAAGTCTACATCAGTATTTAAAGAGAAACAGGAAACTATTCCAGATTACAACTGAAGCTGAATGAATTACAAACACTACATTTGAAAGCTGAATGTAAAGTGTTAGAATAAAAATGCTAGATTTCAGGAAAAAAAAAAAGATCATGAGGCAAGATAGTTTGTAAGATTTGTTTCCTCTAAAATTTTGTGTACTTGGTATATTCTGACAAAATCTTAGTAACAGTGGATGTTCTAGAAATGGTTTTCAGAGCAAACCCCATTACACAACACTCTACACAAATATGATTTAAAAACAAGCAAAGAAACTTCGCCACTACAAAACAAGTATCGTCCTTGATCTTACTTTTACTAGATGTATGTACTCTACTTCAAAGACTTTGTATAACATCTGATTCATTATGCTTGGCTGAGTCTGTTTAACAACTTTCTAAATGCTTTAAACCACCTAACCTCTGAAATATCTGTCTTCCCTTTAATTGCCAAGATGCATTTTGTCATTTCTTTGAATATTCTGCAAGTAGGCAGAAGGATGGTTGGATTAAATGCCAAAATATATTTTTTTTTAAAAAAAAGATACATCAAAAAGGAAGAGAAAAGACACAGAAAGGAAGGCTGACATAATCCTCAGGACCACTCAGCGGGAAGCAGCTCCCGTCATGGCTACTGTCCCTGGTCCTGAAATCTTTGAAATGAAATGCTGCCCAAAAACCAAACTGAGAAGCAGCAAAGAAGCAATGTCAGTTAGGAAACCCAAACAAGGGTTGAGCTAAGGCTTTAAAAGCCAAGCAGATCTTGGAGATGTTTTTTCAAACCTTGTATTATGTTTGTTTGGTTTGTTGTGGGTTTTTTTGTTTGTTTGTTTTGGTTTGCTTAGGTGTTTTTTTAAAGAAAATCTCAATGCCTGCAAAAGAAGAGATGCAGTCAGGTTTGTCTTAGCAAATTATGCTGGCAATTGCAGTACCATGGTCCTTTTTGGAAACAGGCAAGCAGCTCTAACTGTAGTCCAGCCTGGGTGTTGAGAAGCACAGCACAAGAGAACAGTACTACTTTTTTTCCACCTTGTTCATATGAAGAAAAAGTCTTGCACTTATGCCAATTCCAAGATACTGGTGGAGTCACTTCTTTATGCCCAATTTTTTTTATTGAATTATGTTGATTTAGAAATGGCAAATCCTGTGCTGGCTCCAGATTATGAGAAAAAAGTGAGGCACATGGTGATAAATGAATACATTCTTTCCTGTGTATACCAGGTTTTCTTCATCTAAATTTTAGAAGAGGGCGTTTTACAAAAAAGTGCAAAGATCAAAAACTGTTTACTGTGAGAATCAATCTCTTTGAGAAAAATGAATCAGCAAAAAGTGATTTCAATGGTGGTTTTCAACAGCAGTTTTCATTGGTATCAATACTGTACAAGAGTACAATGGCAATACCAGTAAGGTACAATTACTTTAAGCTCTACAAGAACTCTGATATCTCTGCACAGCATGCAGCGTTCTTTTGTTTCTTGCTCATTTAAAAGGTGGAAAAGGACTCTACAACCTTTTACAAAACAAATTTATATGGATCTAACTTAAACTCTTGTGGTTAGCTGCATCTTTATTTTAATGGCTTCTTCGCACTCTCATTCACAACAACTGGTCTATCACTTTATCTGAAAGAAAGATATGGCATTAAAGAAGAGGTGCCATATTTGTAGATAGATCAAAAACCTCGTACCTATCCCACTGACATTTACGCAGACAGAATGCTTTTTAGCCTTACTAAAGGCTCATATCTCTGCTCTCCATCCTGTCAGTGTTGTGAACATTATCCCAATGAGAAGCGTGAAATGCCTTAGAGAAGAAAAACAAAGTTCTCTAATGACCAAGAAACTGATAAGAAAGAGCCAACTTTTGCTGCTTTTTAGTCTATAAAACATCCAGGTATAAAGAGGTGTGATCTAAGTTAAAGAGCCTGGAACTGCTACAACAGAGGGAACAAAGTGAGCACAAATACTGTGGTTGATGTAGATACAGAAAGAAAAGTCCTTCATGCTGCTGCAAAAATTCTCTCTGAAATATGCTGCAAAGCCTAAAGAATTATCAACAAACAATACCATTTCTTAGTAACTCTTTAAGACAACCTATAGCTATTAAAACTCTTTCTCCTTCCCTAAGAGAAAAAAGGGAGATGTCTTCCATCTCTTTATTTCTTTCTTGTAGTGAAGCATTCAAGTACCCATAAATCCCTTTCAGTTCCTTCAGTTCAGTTCCACAAATAAAGAATGAAATGCAGAACTAATGTTTGTTGAATGTTTTGTTGAAATAGTTGAATGTTTCATTTTTACATGAAGACCCTTATCAAAATTAATTTTTAAAACAAGGTACAAGATTCCATTACATATCAAGTAATCAGCAATATAATACATCAGCTGCTTATATAATACATTAACTGCCTGCAAACAATTAACTGCCATCAGGATATACATTTCAGCACAGAAGATGATACATTTTATACTAAATCAGCAATGTAGTCAACAAGAACATACAAAGAATAACTTTGCACTTTGCAGTTATTTGAAAGTGGACATAAAATTGGTATTATCTGGGAGCCTATGAAGTGACTGCCTAGAGTGCAAAACAATAAAGTCATGTCCAGTATATATATTCTGAAGTATTTTTAGTCAACAGACAAGAATTGCTGAGGGGATTAACTCATATAAGCTGTAAAATGACTAGTCAATTTTGCCATTCTCTTACATCTGTTATGACTTACAAAAACCCACTGCCAGCGTAATAAACTGTAGAAACTTAGGAGGAAAATTATTTTAGGACAGAATACCTACCGGTCTGGTTGTACCATATCCAGCAGTTCCTGCGCTTGAAATTCCAGTCGAAGGTGGAGGCTGATTACGAACTGGAACAGATATTAGAGATCACTGACTTAGAACATATTTAAAATCAACTTCTTTCTTTTTTATAATTAGTACAAAGCATGTATCTGGTATTACCTAAGTTATCTTTTCTTTGTGTTCCAGGACTTTTTTGTGCTTTGAAGCATGGAAAAAAAAATTAGATTATCTTGGTTAGATAAGCTACAAACAGGTATTACACGGCAATGGTACATTACCACTAATGGAAATGGGAGCAAAAAGACAGTGATTTTTTTTTTTTTTTTTTTTTTTTTTTTAGAAGTTGTTACTAAAGTCTATCTATCAGCTGAGCTGTTACTCTAGCACACTCTTATCCCATGGCACATGTGAAGTAATTTGACCCTTCTAATTACAAACTAAGTCAAATCACCTACTATTTGTTGCAAGTTAAAGATGCCCACTTGTACAGGTACCCCATGTTTTTAATCACGCTAGAAGTTGTTTTCCTTTGTAGCATATTCTGCAAATACTCTAAAACAAGAACTTCTGTAACATGCTGATTCAAAAAAATCATGTGATCAGAAGAGTACATCTGTAATTATACATAGTTCAGCAATCTACAGGGTCTACACCAAAGTTCCTGAATCTACTCTCTCTGTTTATGGGATAAATATATTACAGCACCAACCTCAACATTTACATGCTGATGCTAACGACAACCTTGTATACAACATTCAAGTTGTGAAGTGCAAGATATGAAGAAATTACCTTTACCTCAGACAAGTGCACAATTTCTAACAGGCAAAGAGGTTTAGGATTCTGGCTTGTGTTTCTGTTGCCTATTTCCCAGGAAGGTAAAATCACCATGTCAGTTACAGTAACTGGAAGGAATACTCTGTGGTACATAAAACATTTAGTTTATCAAATCAGCTTCCAGTTGTCAGACAACTCTGCTTTCTTATAACTGGTTAGAATGGGTTTCTGGGTACAGTTCTCAGTAATGCAATTCGTACCCTGAGCAACCTAGTGCCAGTTTACCCTACTTTGAGCAGGAGGCTGGACTAGGTAACCACCAGAGGTCCCTTCCAACCTGAACTATTCTATGCCTATAGTGATTTTGCCAATTTAGAAAAATGAACCAGCAATATAGCCAAAATTAATTGTAGTATACAGGAGAACATCTTGACTGTGACTATATCAGGACTTCTATTGCCATACCTATATTTGCTACAAAGGCACACATTCCTGAGGGGACAAGAAGAAACCAAAAACTCTGCTGGCATGGCTAAAACAGGACCCATTCAGCACTATACACACATACTCCAACTAGAATCATGCAAGAGAAATGCTTCTCATAAATGTATGTCACAAACATTTAGGTATCAGAATCAAAATACCTACACTGTGCTCTTCAGAAAGAGACAAAAATATTAAATTATAGGCTAAATTATTTACATGGAAGTTTCTTTCCCCAAAATACATGAACATATTTAAGTTCTTTATGAAAAATTAGGCTTCCTAGATTACTGATTTAGTTACAAGTATAGTATTTACTCTAGCAATCTTAGTCAGCTACAGCTTCTGCTGAGAGTCAGTCTTGAAAGCATTTTTCTCGATTAGTATGGTCTAAGCTTTCAGTTCATTTCTCATAAATGAAGCCTGCCTTCTATAACAACTCACACCATCACTGAAAACCAGCAAGCAACCTGGCTGTCTGAAAACTATGTTAAATAAAAGAAGAAAGATCCTACACAGTAAATACCTTCATGAAACCACCTTTAGTATCACAAGGGCAATAATATTACTCAGGTATTAAATTAGAAATCCATTTCTAGAATACAAAAATTGTTATGTTACCTTCTACTTCTCTCCTAGCTACCCCAGGACTGGGAGGAGCTCCAAGACCTTTTCAGAGAAAGAAGAGAAGCTGTATATTGCATAAGAAAAGCAGTAGATTGAGAAAGTAAAACCAGAAAGAACACTGCCACAAGACAGCTTTATATAATTTAAAAATGGCCTAGCTAGATTGTAGTTACTTGTAGGAGATAACTGTTTGTAACAGCATGGGGAAACCAGACTGGTACAAATCAGAGATCAGCAAGTACAATCATGTTTAGAAACATGCTATTATTTCAATATTACATTACAGTTGAAAGAGAATTTAATTTCTTCAGTATTCACTCTCCACAAACTTTTGTAAATTCAGAATGATATTAAATGTCAGTCTTGAAACTCTTCTAAAGCAGAGCACATACCTATACTCAAACACTTGAAAATAAACAGGTACATCACTTATACCCTCCAACATTAAGTCTGCTTCCTGTAATTTAGGAGAATACTACACAGTATGTTTCTGCCAAGACTACATTTGAATAAGCGATTTTGTGGAAGAAATAAGTTTCCGACTTTATATAATGTAATGTATCCTACAGAACTGTATCATTAAGTTATCTCCAAGCAGCACTCTGTACTTGGGAAAGCTGTATCAACTGGTACGCAGTAGATGTTACAGATCAGATTGAGAGAAAGAAGATTTTCAATCATGCATAACCATGCTGAATTATTTTATTTCTGCAATATCATCAAGCATATACTGGGTCCATAAAATTGTATGGTAAAAACATGGCAGGACATAGATAAGACTAGACGATATGCAAGGAGAAATCCTTAAGGCATGCGCATAGGAAAAAGTAACAGTAATATCTGGCAACTCTTCAGTGGCTCAAGTATAGAGGAAGGAAAGGGAGCCAGTGTTCAAGAAGCCTACCTTAAAAGCAACTTTTGCCTTAGCGATGACACAGCCTCATGCTTTCTCATCATGTGCCAATGTGTGGTATCTGCTCAGGAGCTCTCTATGATCTGGAAAGAGTGCTGTGAATTTTGTCAGATATGGGTGGAGGTGTCACTCAGAGTAGGAAGAGTGAAGGTTGCAGATGAGGCTGGTATGTGATTATCTCCAGAGATGTCAGATCTCTGGTTTTGCTGAACATCTGGTTCAAAGATGTTAAATACTAGCATATGCTATATACTCTGCGTGAGTTCCAGGCTCTGCCAATTAATACTAGATTTCCATCGCAAAAAGAGTTTCTGACAGTGAACTTCTCTGCAAGAGAAGCAGCACCGAGGAGGGATGAGCAGAGAGCATTTGTAAGGAGGGGGCACAGGAGGAGAGCACTGCTTGAGAACATTTCATTGCTCTCAGGTGCTAGCTCTGCCCTTCTCCGATGCAACCCAGAGGAACCTGGGGGAGAAAGTGGTAACCCACAGGCTATGAGAAGCCTGCCTGCTAACTAGAGGAAAATAAAGGGAGGAGGAGAGCAGCCCAACAGAGTACAGGACATTCCTCTGAACCCTCTGTGGTTAAAGCTAACTGTTCATCTCAGCGTATTAATGGCAATGGACACAATAAAACCTCTCCAGGAGCAGGGGATTAGCCTGTTCATTTCACAGATCTTCTGCACTTTCCCCTCCCAAAGCTCAATTCGGCCCATACTTTGAATAGGTATTTTCAGGATGCTCTGGTTAAGCAATTCTTGTTTTATGCAAGTCAAATCCTTTCAGGAGAAGGAAGGCAGAGAACCTCTTTGACTGTAGCACATAAACATGTTCCTATGTTGGTGCACCGTACAGAGGAAGACTTCTGTGCATGAGGATTTTAAAAGGTTTTGCAAATTTAAAAATACTCATTATATGGGAGAGAAAGGACATAGAGGTCAAATACCCCAAATTACACTTACTAATAATACTCTTCAACAGTGATAAAGCAAAATTATGGTGCTGTGATAATGCTATCACAGTTGGCTTTCTAGGAAGATTCTAATCTTAAGGATGGTGAAAAATGTACATCTGAACCCGAAACACATTTTGGGTATCATTTTAAACTGTTACTGTAGCCTGTATATAGCTTGAAATCTCTATTGCAGTTTGAAACAGTGTTTTGCAAGTAAAGATATCACATACTTGTTTTAAAGACTATTTTAAGGAAAGAGGTTGGATTTACACAGAAACAACCTGTAACTTATGCCCCGACATCTTTTGGACAGAACTGCATGTTTTGCAAAGATTACATTTAAACATTAGATTAACGGAAAACAAAGCAACCCCAACTTCTCATAAAGTAAAACTTGCATATATGAGCATATGTGCGTTTGTGTGTGTGTATATATACACACACACATATATATGAAATCTGTCTAGACCATTTGCCTACATTTGAATAATGCATTTACTGTTTTAGCATTAAGGATTCTTGTTTCCTCCACTGCTGAACATGCCTTCTTCAGCAAGAAAAGGAGAAAGGTGCTTTTCCCCATATTTAAAAAAAAAAGACCAACAAAAAAAAGCTTTTTCAGAATAACTGCCATATCCTAATGCACCCAAACAACCTGAACTCTGCTTGGGGGGTGGGGGGTGGGGAACAAACGAAAAAAAAGCTACAGGGGAAAAAATAATGATGTTGAATCGTTCTTGGAAGGCTAAGTTTAATGTGTGACTATAAATATCAGTGTACACCAACACGTACTTGCTGTTTGGGTGCATGTATTTTCATAGCTTAACATACTTGCGTTTCTTTTAATGTCAACTTTATTACTGTATTTTCTAGGTTTATTTTATTTATTTGTAGGATAATCACTGAAAATGTAATGCATTTTACCCAAATTATTGCATATACTGAAAATACTGTGCATTCTCTCAATCTTAACCCCATTTTAGCAGTTTAAACCAATGATAAAAGACAACTATAAGCCTTGCCTGCATTAATCAGGAAAAGTCTAATATTAAAGGAAAAAAAACCCCAAAACAAATGTTATTTTTTAACTTCCAGTAATTGACAATTAGCAGCCTTTATTATTTTTAATGTTCTGTAAGAATTTACTCTGTACTGTATTAAAAAAAACCTTGGGTAAACAGAGTGCAACATTTTAATTTTTAACTATAAACAACAATCCTCAGTGGAAATCTTTCGTATTAGCAGGCAAAAAGTCTACACTTTGCAAACCCTTACAATGACTACATAGCCTTGAATTCCCTGAATCCTGAGTTACTTCTGATGTAAAATGAGCCATTAGAAGAAACGTTATGGGCATTGAAGGGAGTGAAGCACTCAGAAAAAAAGGTTAAAACACATGAGCAAAAAAAAAAAAAGTAACATTTAAAATGCACAGCGTTTTAAAGACATGATCAATGTCACTTTGCATGTGCTACAGAAGTCTAAAACCAAAGTTTGATACACTTATATAGTACACAGGGATATTTTCACAGTGCTTTAGGAGCCTTCATTCTAGGTAAGAGAAACAGATGCCATTTCCCCAAGCACAGTAACACACTATGACATTTATACTGCTTCTAGTCCTGTCCTAGCTTGCTCAGAGCTGAGCTGAAAAGCAAAGCATTATGCCTTATAAATGTACGCCATGAGTGGAAAATGAAGAGGACAGAAAAAGTGGGATGAGCTTTAGGTCAGAATAATATATGAAAAAAAATATACAACAATCTCTTTAAAAAAGTTTGCATAAAAAGCAAGTTTTATGCAGGTTACAATTCTTTGTGGAAAGCTATGTTGGGAAAGAGGGTAAAAAAAGGCGGCTAGTCTTTGCACAATTGAGACAAACTAGGCAAACAGGATTGTGTCAGTGCATATAAAACTATACAGGACTGAAGTAGTACAATGAATTAAATCTCATATATGTTGCATGTTATGTACAAACTGGCTGTCTTCTAAAACTTAAGCATTTTAACTAATTCGAAATATTATGCCAAAGGCATAATAACCTCCTCCCCTCAAATGTATCTAAGAGCCACACACATCTCTGCCTGACATCAGAATCGTAGCTGATATTTGTATACTATGGTAGTTTACTTATTCTCTGAGATTGCTCAAAACCTTTGAATTATTTTCTCAAAAAACTCTTTCCTACTGAGTGGCAGTGTCTGAAAAGCCATTAATACTTAAGAAAGTATTTCAGAGCCACTAACTATTCTCACTCTATCCCACGTATTAAATGAGCTGATTTAAGTCCAAGCAGGCAGCTCAACTATGAAGTGTGTAACAAAGAAGGACAAAGATTAGTTTCAAGAAGCAGCACTTCTGAGAACGTGTGAGTCGTTATTACATGCAAAACCAGATCAAGCTGGAAAAAAACAAAACTAGCCTGAAGGGTTGATAAGGCCCTCAGCATTATCAAAAAAGGGAAGGAATTAGGGGAGAATTATTTCAGGATTTTGTTACTTTGTAAAGACCCGTAGCTCTCAAGTGCCTTCAAAGTAACTGAATAAATTCCTTTGCTAAGTTTGAGTTTCTGAAGTACATGCTAGTTCCAAGAACTATGGCGGATGTTTCGTGTCTCTGGGAAGGGCTTAGGAGCACATTTCAGACTTGGAAACAGAAAATAAACTACCCATATGTCAGCGTTCAGCTTAGAGACAAATACAGCTCGGTGGTTTGGAGCTCTCTGTTAACTGGTGATCATCTGGGGGAAACTGGGCCAGACCAGCAGTAGTTTCAACTTGAACAATTAATTAATGGATAATCACTGCAAGTATCTACCATCACAATCCATTGTACAATGCTCCTTGTCACGGACTGTGAGGAACAAAGCTAGCCTTTTCACAACTAAAGACAAGTTTCCACTTTCACAGAGAAGTTAGCTGGGTATATTTTCACTAGGACAAAGCAATAAAAACCTGGAACAACTTTAATCTCTCTGACTATAATGTAGCAACTTCTGAACAAATATTTTTTCACTAAAAAGTCAAATGTAATTCAGAGGGGGATACAAACCCTGAGAAAGAAATTACATTGACATTCAAGAATTACCCATTTTTATACCTTTGGACATCATCATAAGTATTGTCACAACAGACCACCTGAGTAGTTGTGCTATGTAGTCATATTCAAAAACAATTAAAATCATTACCTCCAAATTCTTTTCTAGCGGGTGCAGGACTCCTACCGCCTTACAGTATTTAAGAAATGAATGCAGCAATAATGAAAAATATCAATACAGTAAGAGGGAAGAAAAAGAATGAGAAAGTTAAAAATTACAAGGGTCAGTTTGTTATTAACTATGTTGCCCATATGCTTCTGAACATCCAGTTTCTCTTAGTGCTCAATTGTTTACATTTTCAGATGATCCAGGTGAACTCTACATTAAAAACTTGGACATGATAAAATGCATACATACTGATGCCAAAATTAAAGGAATATAAATCCATGAATGCACAAGATTATTTATCTTTTATTTTCAAAATGAAGATGCTATAAAAATGAAAATGTTGAGTAAACACTGCTGTAGGAAGCCCACATTTTTAAACTGAGAAAGTAAGTTTATAAAAATTTTAAAACTTATGCACTAAGCAAAGACAATAATATTTAAATGGTACTGAAAAATGCTGTTATTTCCCATGCTGTTATTGCTATTAAATGTACCAACTAAATGTTTTAGTGAAAAAATAGTATGTTCCATTGAGCCCCAAAATAACAATACAATATGTAGTTTGGGCGTGGACTTCAAAGTTCATCTCACAGTCTTGAAACAAAACATTCCTGACCACCTGATATACGTCACTGCATTACCTGATGGTGGAGGTGGCCTCTGTGGTGGAGCGGGGCGTGCAGGAGGAGCAACGGGGCGAGGTGGTGGAGGACGCTTAGGCTCCAAGCTCTGAGAAGACTCTTTCTGCTGGGTACTGAGCTGAAATTCAGCTGAAGAACATGACAGAAAATAATGCAAAAATTAATCACTTGTACATTCTAATCACAGTAATGCTTTTCTAATAACAAGTTATTTTCACGGAGAGGACAGTCAGTCCCCAGACCTGGAAACAATGATACAGAAGGTTTTGAGAGAGGGAAGACAAGAGGAATAAACCAATGGTGAAAAGAAGCAGATTTCCGAAACCAAGATTTTTGTCTCATATGCTTTAATCAGTATATGCTGTTCAGGAATCCTGAACATTCGTACAAATTGCAGAGTTCCAAATTTTGATCTTGGCCCTTATCTGTGAACTAAGTGCTCTGGAAAAAAGAAGTTACAAGGGGAATTCTGAAGGCATTTTAGCAGTCTGTGTAAAGTTACTCCAAATTACATTGAAATAAACTGTTCTAGAAGCCATTCCAAACACTGTCATTCTAAATGTCCACTTTGTCACTAAAATAAAGTTGTGTTTAAACAGACGCTTTCATATTATACACCCGATTTACAAATCTAGTAATTACAATTTACATATTACAGCTGATAGGAGCAGTAATTGAAATGGGCTGTATTTGAAGAGTATGACTAAAGTGAACTAGGATTACAGTGACACATTGCAACACAATTTTTGAACAGAGGTTTCAAACTAATCAACTTAGCCTACTAATCACGTAACTTTTTGAGATGTCTCTTTCATGATGAAATGCTAAAAAAATAGAGCAAACTAGTTGGTTTGCAGCAGCATAGATCAGTGGACAGTGCACTAAATAAGACTCAGGAAACAAAGCTCTTCCACTGCCCATTAGGAAAACCGAGACACAACGAATGGAGTGATTTGCCCAAGGCCACTTAGGCATAAAATGCTAGCTAATGACAAGAACAGCCTTTTATATTAATCTAAAAGGTCTATTAAAAATAATCTATAAGCTAGTATTCTACCACTGGGACATACAGCTGCCAGATTGTATAGTAGTAATAGAGGCAGTCAAGCAACGTAATACACACTGTGGGTGGAAACAGGTGGCCCAGGAGTTTTTGTTGGTGCTCGGCTCGGTCTCACTGGGAGCGCAGGTCCATCTGACAGCGTAGGGGATTGACAGGGACTGGAACGCGGTGAAGAGCTTGGGGAGGTTCCAAGACCAGAGCTTGAAGTTGGCTGTAGATGCTGAGGAAGGATTTCTTCTACTTCAGCACTATAGTCATCAATGTCTCCTAAGTAACAAACCCCACCCCAAAAAAGAAAAAGCATGTAAAATAAAGGGAACAACAGTTACTTATTTTAAAAAGTGGGGAAATTATAAACTGATTCTGGGCATGAGATTTTCTGCAAAAAGCCCTCAAGTTCCAAGGAATTAGCTCAACAACTGAAGTACGATTCTTGCATCATAAAATTAGACAGGAAGAATGTGTACATATTCAAACCAGTTGAAAATAGTCCAAATGCACAATATATAGTATAGGTAATTATAATAGTGTGGCAACTGTAATGTTGCTTAATCTAAGAAACAATTAGCTTTCCAAAGAAGACCTTTGCAAAAATTATTTCCCTGGTTTGCGACAGATGGGAAGCTTCACTTATTCTTCAGAAGGCTGGGCAGGGGATTTCAAGATACCTGCTGTTTGTACTACCTTCTGTTGGAAAAGGTGGAATGATGTTTAAAAAAAGGTTCAACATGGGCATGCCTTTGAAAAGTAAACTGTCAATTTAGAATATTCTTACGATATATTCAAAATGCCTAAAATAGACAATTATCCCATCACACTCCAATAAGACCATAGTAATCCTTTCTTCCATAACTTCTAGGCTTCTCTCTCTTCAGGTACATGAATGACACACGATGTTCTGCAGAAATTCCAGCTTCAACTCCGCACTGCTCAGCAGTTACAGGGTAACCAGGCTGCTAATTAGATATCAGCTGTTGATTTAAGAGTCTTGTGGGATTTGAGATACCACATTTTAAGGGAATTATACCATTTCACATAGGACTATTAATAAAATCAACCAATGACATAAGCGTCTAAACTGTTAAAGTCCTGTTTCCTACCTGCATTGGAAAGCAGATGAATTATCTTATGACACCAAGACTAATGCAAATTCCAACTTTTCATACATGTCTCCCATATCTGTACCCTTACCAAACATATCTTCCTTTATGAATGTCCTGGTTTCAGCTGGCATAGAGTTAGTTTTCTTCCTAGTAGCAGGCATAGTGCTGTGTTTTGGATTTAGGATGAGCATAATGTTGGTAACACACTGATGTTTTAGTTGTTGCTAAGTACTGCTTACACTACTCAAGGACTTTCTGGCTTCCCATGCTCTGCCAGGTGCACAAGAAACTGGGAGGGGGCACAGCCAGAATAGTTGATCCAAACTGACCAAAGGGCTATTCCATACCACATGACGTCATGCTGAGTATAGAAACGGGGGTGGGGGGGGGTTGGCTGGGGAGCCGCGATCGCTGCTCAGGAACTGGCTGGGTATCGGTCGGCAGGTGGTGAGCAATTGCATTGTGCATCACTTTGTATATTATTATTACTGTTATTATTATATTGTTATTATTACTACTACTATTTTACTTCATTTTGTTTCAATTATTAAACTGTTCTTATCTCAACCCAGGAGTGTTTTTTCACTCTTACTCTTCCAATTCTCTCCCCCATCCCACCAGGGCAGGGGGAGCGAGCAAGCGGCTGCGTGGTGCTTAGTTGCTGGCTGGGGTTAAACCACGACAATGAAATAACTGTACAAAAAACCCCCTTAGTCTACTCTTTCCAGTATACATAGCTCCCATCTCTTTTCTTGAATGTAATGTTTGCCACTAAGGAGGCTTGGATAGAAATTCAAAGCAAATGAGCTACTCGGAATACATCAATATAGACACAATGACCACATCTAGAAAGTACATCTGTTCAAGAAATGACAAAAAAAATGGCCCTGTAAAATACATATGGAAATGCAATACACACAGGAAGTGTCAGCAGGTAAGGTGTGTGTGTGGGGGGGTTGCTGCTGTTCTAAAAACAGCTGTTTTACTTGCTAAGGATGTAAGACAAATATATTTTAATGTAAAGAAGAGAGTGAAGCAGACCTTTCACAAAAATTAATTAATAGATTAAAAAGTAAGCTGTGACAAAGTACATACATTAGAAACATGCAAATAAAGAAAAGCAAAAATGCAGAGGCACAATTGTTGCAACAGGGATATTCAGCAACTTGAGGATTCTGCTAGAAAAGTATGACATGAAAAGATATAAAAACCCTTCAGGGAAAAAACAAAACTGACAAAAAAGAACTGGGGAACCAGAAAACAGCAACTCATTAGTGCCGAAGATCAGCCTATTCCAAGGAGCAACAGAGGTTGAAGGTTTCCTTGCCTGACTCGTATTTGCCTGCCTGTCAAAGGCTCACCAGGTGTCTTCTTGGGGGTGGTAAGCATATCAATGCTTAGCATGGGAGCTCATTAGTCCTATTAATCTGTTATGTGTATTGGCAAAAAAAAATAAGTGCTTTGCACTCTGAAGTTGTGTATATCCTGCTTGCAGGGTGTCTCCATGAATAGTAGAAGTTGCCTGAATGAAGTGACCCTGAGAGGGTAGGTCACAGGATAAAGTGAGAAGAATAAAAAGAACGTCAGCAAATTAGTAAAACCTAGAGATACCGTGCAAACTGACACTGCTCAACGAGTTGTCAAGATACTGTTGGAAATAACAGGATTTCTAATTTATCTGTTTTAGATTGGCATAAACTTGTTAAAGTATTGATATATGCATTAAATTAACCAGATTATTTAGGACTGTAAGCATTTCAAAATGAGGAATACTTTATTTCAACAAACCTTCCATATCATAGTCTGCAGTAACCTCAGCATCTTCACAAAGCAAAGTGGAGCTTGTCGATGAAGGCAGCCCAATATTAATTTTCTCTAGATTCATTTCATCTTCCAAACTTCTGATCCAATCTGGATTTTTCAAGCTTATGTTTATAATCCTTCCTAGTAGCTGAATTGCCAAAAAGGTATGCACAAAACAGAAACTGTTAAGAGTAGGAGCATTAAAATTCAGCATTCTAGATTTTAAAAGAACAAAAAAAAAAATTACTGAAAATACCACAAATCAGGGTATCAGAATTTCTGGGACTAAACAATGACACATCACAAAAATAATTATGCTTTTCACTTCATTTTGGTAATTAAGTACATTTATGTAGTTTAAACTGTTAATAGCAACTATTTATTACTTTTCTAAAGAAAAACTAACAACTTGTCTCATAAGATTTTCCTTTTCAGTTAATAGGAAAGCTTCTGGTTTCTTTATTCCAACAGAAACACTACTCTTTGTAAAGAAAAACGAGACTTGCTTATAAACTACATTAATAAAGTAATTTTTAGAGACTGATAAAAAAGCAGGCCTTCATTCTGCAAACTGACACAACACTGAGCCCCTATCCTGCATGGACTGTCAGTGAAATTCTCAGCAGATGCAAGGATCCATCTGCAAACATCACATTACAGAATCCAAGTCTTAAAAGGAACACAGATCAGTAAAAATTTGAACATGAAAATTGGAATTTTTACAAAGATTAAATACTAGCCGTACAGAAGTCAGTGAGAGCTGGAATGTTGACATTTTAAAGTGATTGCAGTACAGGAGTGCTGAATTTTAAATAATTGCAGGCTATAAATATGATAACTGGGTTCATACTACAAACTCAAGGTAAAAACTCTGCTTTATAAATCATTAAAAAAACCCCCCGAATTAAAAATCCCTCATTTGAAGAAGATGCCCCTCAATATGGGATCTTCATTTCTCTAACTGTCCTCCTCCTAAAAAATAAATTAAGTTTGGTACTTCTCTCAGCTGGCTTTTGAAACTCAACATGTGATAGCTATGTGGCCATCAAAAGTTAAAAAAAAAAAAGAGAAAAGATTAGATGCAACAGTCTAGTATGGAACATGAAAAACTTTTAAGAATTAAAACCAGACAAACAAACAAAAAACCCAACCCACCCAAGTATTCTTTAAAAAGTTGGATTTTCTCTTGCTATACAAAAGTTCAGTAAGTTTTACATTACCTCAGTACCATTCAAATTCAAAACATTCAAAGCAGAGCTTCCTTCCAAAAACGTTACCCACATCTTGTCTTCCACGAACCTGGAAAGTCCATTGGAAACAATAATTAAAATACTTTATCCTACCTACTAGCTTTTGAAGCCTATTATCTTAAAGGTTTTTCAATGTTTCACTTGATGGAGAAGAATTTTTTTATGTTCATTAAAATACATATAATTGGCTAAAAAGCTTTAACTGAATATATCCTTGCAACAACAACAACAAAAAAAAAGGCAAAAGAGAACCAGGTAAATATCACACAGCAAAAGCACTGTCCTCTTAAAAATTACTGTGACTACAATTACACATTCAATAGTAATTGGTGTGGCTACAGGTTAGATATTTGTATTAGGTGTTGCACATTACATCACACTACGGACTTGGGACTATGCTTCTAGTCTTTTGGGGGGGGGGGGGAACACCAAACAAAACAACCCCCCAAAAAACCTAAACAAAACGCCACAACACTTATAGATCAATTAACAGCTTAGTGAAAATGCAACATTCACAGGGATCCTTCAGTTCATTTAAAACTAATAACCTAATTTTAAAATACAGAATTTGTATAAAATTACATAACTAACAGATTTTAACTCTGACTGATTTGTGACAAAGTCAGTATGCTATTCTGTCTCAAAAATAAAGAGTATCTGGAAAAATACATACAGGTATGTAAAACTAATTTTCAACTGTAAAGACATTAAAGTTGAAATCTAAATGTCAAAAATTAAGCAGATTGTAACTGAAATGCCTGCTAAGAAAGTAACTTTATTCAGGAAATAGGTGGGAACAATGAAGAGGAACAGAGATTAAAAGTAAAAAGTCTTTTAACCTTATCAGTATAACTTCACCATAGCTTGCAAATTTTTGAAGAAGATCATCAATCAAGTTATCATCAAAATAGTTTTCTTCTGCTGAAGAACTTCTGATGGAGACCATTACAGTACCATCAGGTGGTCCTTGCATTGCGATCACCTCCTTATAAACTTTTTGTCTCTCTTCTGCTTCAATTTCAAATATGTCGATGTCAATCAATGCAACCACAGGCCTTGGAAAAAAATACACAAGAAAAGCCTCTAAGCAGAGTGTCTGAGCAACAAAACATGTAACATGAATATTCAATCTTCAATTATTAGGAAGTAATGTAGAAAATAAAACTGAAACCTGTGATCAGATGTTTTCAGCTCTGCTCTTCCATAGTGCAACAAAGTACCAGGATTCCATGTATAAGGGACATTACTGTCATCGCGAAAACTAGCATTCAGAAGATCCAGGTCTTCAGCTGCATTCAGTATTAATGAAAACAAAAGGGGAAAACCAGAGTGATTGCAAGAATATGCTTTAAAAAATAAGCTATTTGTAAAAAGAGAAAAAAAGAAAGCAAACCAAAACCAAGTGTTTTACAGAAAAAAACCCGGAAGTTCCTTTTGAACTACTGAAATAGCAGTAAATGGTATCTGATTCTTGATCCTCCTGTTCAGCGTCACTGTTATTTACTGCAGATGCCTTTATAAGCTTTCTGTCTCATACAAAGTCAGGGATAGAAGCTTAGAATCACTGGCACTGTGAAGGTCACTAAATGGATTCAATAAGCCAGTTAAAAGAATATTTTAAACAATTTAAGGAAGCACTCAAACCTGATCGGTCAAAAGGCCACTTTCTTCTTCTCCAAAGAATACGATCTGTCCACGCTGGTGTGCGACATTTTTCACTGGTGTCATAGTCATCAGAAAACAAATCATATTTGTATGTAGGAGCAAAATTTATTTTCCCTTCCAAAAATCCCCTAAAAATCTGTAAGAAACAAAGCAGTTATATGTCATGCCAGAAGACAGAAACAGATGGGAAACAGCTTGAAACTAATCAGAATTCTCTTTTCTAGCAGTGAAAACCTGTATACACATCTCAAAAAAAATAGTCATTTGATAATATGAATCCTTCTCCAAATTTTATCTGCTGAAAACATTCTACATTTGCCACTAGGACTAAATAGTGACCCAGACAGATCATCATTAAACAGAAGGATGTCAACATTTATATCTTTAAACCCAGGCTCATGAGCAACCTACTGTTCTTCCAATGTCATTCTGAACTTGAGGTCATCCAGAACACAGATGCTGTCCACAGCACTTTAATTGCACGTAGTTGGTTAGTTGCTCATGTGTCAGCATAAGTTGGGAATTAAGGTTTATATTTTATGTACCTATCTGACATGCAAAGCATTTCCCCAAATTGACACAAGATGTCCCACCAATAAATAAAAGAAAAAAAAAAAGATAGAAAAATAGAGAACCCTTAATAACATTCAGTATGAACTGAAAGATTAGAGAGATAATATCACTATTTCTTCTCAAGCAAATAGGAAAACAGAATAAAAAGAGATATTATGTGAAATTATCTGCCAAGAGTACGTATGGTATTTAGAGATACAGAGTCAGTTGAAAGGAATCAAAAAATCTATTAGGTACTTTGCAACATAAACAGATACAGCCAGCTGACACGAGACCCTAGAAGGCCAGGAGATTTGCTCACTCCTTAAGTGTTTAAACTAGGCATATACTAAAACCCTTTAGTTAACTTAATCAGTTCCAGTCCTGAGTTCAATCTTGTATAGCCAGTTTTACTTCACATCAGAGATGTGTAAAATATAAATCTAACCTAGATCTTATAGTCAAGTCTGCATCAAGTGACAGGTTAGCCTGCTTTTCTTGTTGGAAATATAAATTGAAATCCAGTCAATTTAAAAATCAATGTCAGAAGATCAATGTCACAATGTCAGAAGGTCCACAACTTCTGAGACAATTTATTAATTTCTTTGCCTTCGGTCATTATTTCTTAACCTACTTTTACAAAGAAAGTTGCTATGTAAATGCCTTTCCTGAACAGCAGATACACTGGTTAACAGCCATATGCAAGAACCATGGAGCTACCCTTGCTAGCCAGCTGATAACGCCCTGCTGCCCAACCAGCCACTTCCAAATAATGGAATATTACCCCAACGGTGCAATACTACCCCTTGTTCTCCCCAGCCAGGAGACTATTTTGAGTCTTTTCCATATTCTGGTAGTTTCCATAGATCTTCCCAGCTTTATAACTGCTGTAAGTGTCCCCAAGACCTCTACATCTCTCTTGCTTTGGTTAAATTAACAGACAATTGTGCTGTCTGCCCACTTGATCATACATTCCTTTTTTCCCTAGGAACTGGGCTACAAAAAAAGAAATTAAAAATTATCAAGTGTTTTTCTTCCTGTTCTGGAGGCACCAGCACAATTGGAAGAGAACTCTAATTCAGAAAAAACTGCTTATAATCAAAGTGCTGGCAAGCAGACAAAACTAACAGAGGACCGTCTCTCATTTTACCATCTACAGCATTCCCACAGAAAGCTGGAAAGAAAGAATATACACTTTCACACAAAATTTGATTCATTACAAATATTCCTTTAATTGCTACGTGCTGCCTCTCAAGAAACCCTAAAAATGTAAAATCTGAAGCTTTCTTCAGACTTTGTTATTCCATGCTCTTTTTCTTTGTAAGTAAAGAGCTACTGTTTGGACTATTCCTTTTTCCAACAGAATGACAGTAACGGCATTAGATCTATTACTGCAGCAATTTAAAGTAAACAGTAACATTACCAAAAGAACTTCTATAAATATTTTTTAAATAATTGCACCTGATAAAAAGAAAAATATTATAATTAGTAAACTCCAACACAAAGTTGGATGACAGTTTCCTTTTTTTTTTTCAGGAGAGAAAGAAAAAACTCACTCCTACAGCTAGTCACTGTATTTGTATCACTGCCTCTTCAGGTCAGTTACTACGAATAAGTTCCATACCACTACCTGGACCAGGTATAAGTTATAAGTAAAACACGCTGAGGATATAGATTTACAGAAGTACCACAGAAAATTGCAAAAGCCAAAAAGAAAAATGAAGTATTCTTAAGTGTGGTAACATTTTTAAGATACCTGTCCAGAATTTTTCTGATTTATAAGTTGGTCTCCTGCTAGAAGGGGATCCCAGTTCTGTTGTCGTATTAGGTCCTTAACCTCCTCATTTGGAATATCTATTCGATAATTAAAGTCACCACACCAAAAGATATAGTCGTGGGAAAAGAGCATCCTTCCCTGTAAAACAGAAACATGCAATGATGTTAAAAACAACCAAATGACAGATTTACTACTTCCAGGTGCAGAAGTTCAGTTTTTAACAGTAAAATATGCATCATTTCTAGCTGATGAGGACAACTGAAATAGATGTTAGTATTTAGTGTTCATATGGTTAGAACAACATAGCCAACTGTATGGTATTCGCACATACACAGTATGAAAAAAGAAGTAACATTTCTTATGTAGTTTGCATTTCTAAAGAAACATGAATCATCTGAATTGGATTCTAAAATTCTTCATCTTTCTACTCCTGTTTTAGAAGTCTGCTCTAAGATGATGACTGCTACCTGTGTCACAAAGAGGTTACAAAGGTGAACAAAACACTACCCTGCAATCTTGTGGCACAATATCCTGACAAACTGCAAATTGAGGGCTTTATTATTCAGATTTAATTGAAGACTTTTCAGTTACATACAGTTTTCATGGTTAGGGAGAGACAGAAGGGCTCTGCTAGTTTAAACCCTGGGCTTCGTTTAAAGTGAGAACTTTTACTTCTGTCTTTGTTTTGATTTTTCCATTGCCCTCAAGTATATCAAAGCAGATACACTGGCAGATTAAAACAGCAGCATTGAGGAAACTGTTTCTGGGGACCATAAGAATACAGTACTTTCAAGAAAAACTGAAACATGACCATAGGGGCAAATTTAGAAATTAAAAAATCCTGTAAAATAAGATGTCAGACTCCTGCACATAGCGCCATAGAAACTAACAAAGGACAGTTTGACTACAAAAGTAAGACAGCTTTAAGTCTCAAGGAAGCATTTTGTTGCACTGATAAAATTATCAAGTATTTATTTGGTGTTTGATAATCCTTTATGAGAATATGGTACAGAACTGTAGAATCCAACTTGACAAAAATGAGTAAACAAGAAATTAAAGTGCGTTAGCGAAAATCATTGTTGTGTACTGAAAATAGTGCTGTTTCCCATGGATTTTTTTCTCATAGTTGATTAACTCCAGTGTCTACAAAAGTTCTACTGCATGTCAGGAATCTATAAGGTCTCTTTCCTATGCTAAATCCTTGACACCTAATGGAAGTGAATTCATGCTTCATCATCTCCATCAGTCATTGCACTGGAAAGGTCTATTATTCCTGCAATCATCTATTTTAAAAATTGTGGGAACCTAATTATCTCCGAGACCTCTAACCCAAGGAAATTTGATTTCCACAGGAATCTGGGGAGGGGGAAAAAATGGAGCTTTTGGGTCACACTACTGGAGCTCAAAGGGTTTAACTTCTCATTTGTTATGGAATTTGAACACTGTTGCTTACCATTGGAAAACCGAGCTTGCGAGCTATTTCTACGAAGTCTTCATTTCTCTCTTTAACTTGTGATTGTCCTGCAGCAAAATGACTGCAGACAAAGCAAAGACTGGATGTATGAAACAACATCCGAATTGCTACTGCACCTTTATTACCAGTGGCTCCTCCCATGCCAGTCTTTACAGTATCAACAGCAACATCCCTAAAAGAGTTAAACAACTATTAAACTTTCACATGCAATGGCACAGAAGTTAACAGCTTTAAGTATGTCTGAGTATGACATTATGTTGTTAACAGAACGTTTTCACATTGTTCTTTCAGCAGTAAGGCCTCTGGGCTAACATGCTAACAGCTGTTGAGCAGGTAACAATATAATACTTCAGCGTTTCAAGCTTTCTTGGCAACCGATGAGGCATTTAAAAACTAAGATAAAAGAATCTAAGGAACTAGTTCCCTAGAAGATAGAACAGCTCTTTTAGAGCCCCATATGCTTCTTAGTACACTTGTACGTTAGCTTGCAATACAAAGCAAACTGAAGGTGGCCTAACTCGGGCACAGCTGTGTGTTCACTGACCTGATAAAAGGAGCATGCTGGGGCCTGATGAACACAAAAAGGCAGACGCCCACCAACTGCTCAGAAGCCAGCAGCACATACTTGTAATCTCTTGATATAGTCTTCTGCAGTTCAGCAGCCCAGAGCTTCTGATTGGTTGTGCTAGCAGTGAGATTAAAAATGACAGTTTTAAAATAAATCAAATTAAGCAGGTATCTAAACTGTTGATCTAGTCGAATAAACTTCATACAATTACCTTAACTAAACCTTCAGGTAGTAAGCCAAAGCCAAGTTGTGAATGGTGCTCAAATGCCCCCTAGCAGAGACACAGGCTATGGACTGTCATGACATCATCATTTCAAATTCATCCTCATAAAATGCTGCCTCACTTTTCTCAACACCACAGGCAGTGTTAGGAGTCAGGGCTATCTTTCCTGTGTTTCTGAGGCTACACTAGAGGAGCAGAACCTGAGAATTTTTCTAGGGAGTCACCTCCTAGCCTGGAGCTGAGTCACTATTGGAAAACAGAGATGTCCATGGTCTTAGATCAAGAAGAAACTTCCTTCGAGACCTAACAGACTATGGTTTTCAGAGCTAGCATTGCATATAAATGAAAAATATCAGACCTGGAAAAGTGTTAACTAGACAGTGTGAAATTAGGGGATGACAAACTGCCATTTTGTCCTCAAGACAAAAGCCTGTGCAAAGGCTAACAGTGTTACAGACTTTAGATGCTTTTTCCAATGAGTTAAATCTTGCTAAACACCAGAAAACATGCAAAACAGGCAGACAAAACAATGGACAAAATGAACACGATTCTAGGACTACACATAAAGACTTCATCACTGGTAAAAATACATTTTCATAACCCACTCGGCTAGGGGTGAAAAATCCAAACTCCACAATAATTAGACATGTAATACATGGAATGACAGTGAAAACTGACAGTATGGAAGGAAGCCTTGCTTTATACAGATCAAAATCTGATGCAAGACACTACATAAAAGCATACCAACAATACATGCTTTTGGAAGGAATTTCACAGGACTCGCTGTTCCCAGCAGTAGGAAGGCACAGAGACTGCAAAACACTACGAGCATTGAAGGTAAATTCCTTCAAAATCTTAAATGAAGGAAAAAGTTGAGGGGCTGCTGAAGGTGCAATCCAAAATATGGTCAAGTACTGACTGTTTGGATCCTTGAGATTACATTATACATGATCTAAGTGACCACAGCTTTGCTATGGAAAGCTGAGATGAAGTCTGCAATCCTGGCACAGAAACTGGCAGAGAGAACTGGAATACAGTCAAAAATTAATCCAGACTAATCCCAACCATTACAAAACAGGAGAAAAAAAATTAAAATAACATTTTACTTAAAAATGTGATTATCAACTAAACTAGTACTGTATAGATTGTATCACCTACCTGGCATTCACAATGTTTCCTGCATTTAACTCCACCATTTCTTCAAATCCAATGGCAAATATGTCTACAGGCTTGCTTTTGCGATCTGCATTTAAATATTTAAAAAGCTATTTGTCATTTATAATTAACTTAAGAACCAAGACCTCATATATCTATTTTAATGTTTATGATCTAATTATGAAAACCAGCGTTTTCAGAAAAAAACTGACAGAATACAAATCCTACCTTGGAATTCATGAATACCAGCTAACTTTGGTGCATCTAGAAGCCAGTCAGTGAGGGTCTGATTTCTAAAGGCAATACTTCGAAACTGCTTTCCCCCGTTGACGTTCCATGTCCCAACGCAGACTCTAATTTTTTTTGGTTTTGCATACTTATAAAAGTTTTCACACATACTCTTTAGCACTTTTACAGATGCTGCAAAAACATTTGAAAAGACATTATTTTTATATAGAATGTTTCTTCAGAAAACTTGGCAATGAGATCTTTCCCTTAAAAAAATGGCAACAAATCCATGCACAGACATATAGAAAGTTAAACCGAAAGCAAGATGAATGCAGCTTTTCACAAGGGAAAGTACATTTTCAGGCATATTACTTGTCTGTGTAGGATACTGACTGAATGAAAGACAGCAGTAATTTGTTCAAAGTAATATGTATATAAAAGAAACAATTTCTATGTCTCACAAATATCTGTCATTCTTTCACCTTATCTGTGATTCTCTATGGAAACCATTATTTTTCATACATGCCAACACAGATATCTACCTCATTTTCACAGATTACATTTATGGAATTTAATCTCCATTACAAAAATAACTTACAGATATGTTAATTTCTAGAAGTGTAAAAATGACTGCTATACTACATTTATTAAAATAGGTAAGGTACTTTATTTTATCATGGTAGAGTATAAGCCACAAATCTGAATTATTTTTTAGGTCAGCTGAATTCCTAAAATTCTGCTTTAGTGAGGAAAGCAGGCTAGGATTCAAAACAATTAAACTAATTTCTCTGTCACACCAGCCTTTCTCTGTGCCTTGTTTCTATCTGCCAGGTGGGAGAGAGATTAATGACCCATCTGTAAAGGGCATTGTGAGAAACAAACAAGATTATTCAATGGTCAGACACTAGAGTTACAGAGATTTTAAAAGTTCCTTCATAAATCAGCCGCATAATATACTCATACAGATATATTTCCTAATGCAAATGAACAGATCTAAGTATTTTTTAAAATTACGCTCCTTTTTTTCTTTAATCTCAGTGGAATAAAAATTGCATCACATGTAAATAGTATCGTTTGCATTGTACTTTACCTAAGTGATATTAATTTACCTATTTTGAATACTCTCATGGTTATGAGACTCTGAGAGAACTGTATAAACAATATTAGATGGAATTCTTCCCTTCACTGTGTGCTGTCTTGCAAAATGGTCAGCTACAGGGCACAATATTTTCATTCAAATCCCCAAAATAGGATGTTTAGTGAGCTGTTGTTGTCTTTTTGGTTATTCTTTTTGTTTACCACCTTTAAATTTGCTACGGAATTTTGGCTACCCAATTAAAATAAGAATTGGGGATCCTCTAGCCCTCATGGTTTTGAAACAAACTGTAAACAATAGAAGAAAATAATATATTGTATTTGTTGTTTGTGAACTCTTTCACTGCTGAACAAATCATATATCCATATGTGGGCTAATCACATATAAAAGACAATGAACTGGTCGGTGTCTCCTTGGGGTACTACAAGCAGATCATGCTTGGGATCATGCTTTCCTTATCATAATCCAGGTAAATGAAGTCAAGAAAACAGCAAGGAGCCAACAGAATACTTTACACCTTCAGGTGAGAGCCAAATACTGAGTCTACTTCTGAATGTACCTCCACACTAGGTAAGTCAAGTCAAGAAGTCCACCAAATGCCAGAAAAGCCTCCGAGGGTCAAGGACAGAAGCTACCCAAGCACCTGACCACTGAAGAGAAACCAATCCAAGAAATGTTGTAGCCACAATATATACAAGTACCCATATCATCCAGAGGATTAGCTGAACCCAAGAAACCCAAAATAGCATCACAGACAGCTTTGAAGATCTGCACAGATTAGCCTTTGTAGTACTCTGAGCAAGTTTAAAAGCAGAGTTTGGACTTTTATTCTCTCCACTTCCGTTTTTAATTTTTCTTTTGCAAATTTAGCAATTTTCAGCTTAACTTTAAGTAGTTACACCAAATAATTCATATTTGCTACCAAGCAGCTTTTAAGAAAAGCCGCAAAATTGAATTATTGCCCATTTAACTCCTGACATTGTCATGAACCCCCAAGGTGAAAAATCTTGCCAGGATAGAATCTAACTTTAGAAGTGAACTGAAAACATCCTTATTACAAGCATGAAATTCATATGTTTAAACTAGCAAGGTTTCTAAATTGTAGAATTACTCTTTTTCTAAATTAGAATAAATTAAAAAAGGAAAAAAAAAGAAAAGATGAAATTTTCATCTGTTTTCCAAAATACTGAGTGAGCCAATTGCATTTCAGGACTCTTGAACCTCCCGCATACGATATTTTCCTACACATTTCTAGCTATTTACCTTTTCAACAAAATTGTGTCTCACTCTACAACGTTAAAAATCCAATCAATCACATTTTCTGTTATTTTGCAGCAAAAATACCTTAACTGCTGTTCAGACTAGGCAGGCAGACATTTGGAAATCAGTTCTACAAAAGGAGTATTAATTTAAAATTCTTGGTGGGATACTGCATGCAACTGAACTTGATTGAACTATTTTACTACAACATCCAAATTACTGTAGATATGTTTCAATATATGCAATTTGCATCCAGATGAAACCCACAGTGAAATGTTACATCATGAAGTTAAAAAATAGTTGATATGTATGACTCTTCATGAGTTATAAGCTAGGTTGATATTGCCTAGATGGTAACACCATAAATGACAATGTGACTGTTTATTCCAAACAGTTTTTAACACTGACAAAATGCCAGTGAATCAATTAATTTCAGGTGTCTATTACCCATGACTCACATTTCATTATTTAAGTACTCAGTAAGAGTTAAGTAGATACAGTAAAACACTAACAGAAAATGCAAAGCTGAGACAAATGTAAAGGGAAAAAACGTTTAAAGCTCAAAAATACAGATTACAGTTAAAGTGGTTTTCCAAGGGGGGGTGGCAGAAAAACAAAAAGGTTTAAACACTTCAGACGTCTTTGAACAACAATCTAGCCAACAACAAATCCTCATGCTTTCTTCCAAGGATCCTCCCCTGTCAATCTTCAGCACCCAGGGCTAACGGCTACTACCTGAGCACACAGGTTCAGGGGATTCTGTGCACAACTTCACTATTCTCTTTAAATGGGAGACTTGTCTGAACAATTATTAAGAGCTTCCTTGTTTCTTTCCCTCGTCCCCTCCCTTCATCTTCCCAGGTATTAAGAACATACTTTCTTCCTCTCACCCAGAAACTAAGCATCTGATCTGGTTTCACTGAACCTGCTTCCAAGAGGTAGCACAATGAACCCTATAAAGGCAATAGCTCAGAAACTGTCATTTCGATTTTCTCAACACATAGTAAAACCTGAACATACAAGCACTAGGAGTATTTTATTTTAAATAATAGTTTCTGGGAACAAGGAGATGATGAAGTGTGGCACAACTGACAAGTACTCGCAGCTCTCTGTTAAAAACATGGAATATGTATATATCACATCTCCCCAAATGGAGCAGCTTCATGTAAACAGCTTTAGTTACAACAAAAAGGAGGATTTCCACTAAGAATTAGAAAATTTTGAAAACAAAATTCAAAGGCATTCTGTTGCTTATGTTGCTAACTTACAATGACAATAACCAAGAGTTTTCAGAAGCTTCTTAAGTTGAAGAGCTCTTTCATGTCATTTTCCTCTATCTGGCTCATCGCTACACATTCTTATTATTACATATTATTCTTCTTATTATTATTCATGTTCACAGTATTGCTGAATCCTCCGAAGCCAACCTCTTGTATTTTATGCCCAACACCACAGACATTGGTCAAGATATTACTGCAATGTCTCAAAGTAGAAGATTAGGAGTTAACTATGAAGTTCCCTCCTTCAGGCCTTCTCTTTTTTACCTAAATAGGTGCTCTAATACTTTCATTTTGTCTCACATGCAGAGGTAACCATATCTCAGTGGTTTGACTGTACTTTTGCTCCACAAAACACAAGTGTCAACATGTTATTTCAGAGATTCCAGTACAATGTTAACCTTTGCTGGGAGATACTACAAAAATCAGTCCGTCTCATGCAAGAACACAAGCAGGTAGACCCTTCTAACGGCAAATAAGATGAAGTTACAAATCGTATTGAAGATTTTTACCTCCTCTCCTAAACAAAACATTTACAGAAAACAAGAAGACAAAAACTCCCAAACCAGATAAAAAAGCAAATTCCTCCACAGCTAGAATAAAGCATTTGCAAAAATAAACCCCCAAGAAATTGGTTGCCTCTTTTCATAACTCACACCCAAGCACAACTGTAACATTTTTCACCCCTTATATTTTCACTTTTCCTGTATTAAAAGAGCTTTCCTTGGATTAAGGGATTTTGGGGCACAGGAATGACAGATCCAAACACTACTAGGAAAATGTGAGCCCACAACCAAATATTATGCAAATAGGCACAAGAAAAAAGCCAGAGAAGAACAATAGTTGCTCAGATATTTACATCTTAATTTACTATACTATACCTGATTGTAATGATTGCTCTGAAACTACGGATGCAGTAAGAAGGAAATAAGAAAAAAATTAGTCAAATAAGGAATTGTTTTTTAATATTTTCCAGCAATATGTGAGAGAACATGCTGTAATACACAATTTATTACACATAGCCACTTGCATCAGTTAAAGCACATCTTTTATGCTGCAAAATCTAAAAAGTTCCACAACAGTATTAACAAATTCTCTTCTCTTGCTTTATTAATAATGTATTTACGTATGATGAAGTATCTCTCTAGTTAATTCACCACCTAGCAGACAATGCAAAGACATCATGTTCAGTGAAGAGGGATTAATGTTCCTCAGCTGACAGGAGCTGAAAATATTGAAAGGACAGCTTGCACTCACAGAGAAAGTGAGAAGCACCGAAAATGACTTTCAACTAATCTTGAGGTGAGGCCGATTTAGCAGGTTTCAGATACAGGAAAAGTTAAAATAACACGAAACCTTGCAGTAAAAGAAAGATAGGAAAGCAGTCTTTCAGGTTCCACATAGGAAATACATAAATACCCACAAGATGAAGACTGTGGCAAGATTTTTTTTTTTACCCACAAGATGAAGACTGGGCAAGATTTTTTTCTCTTGTGCCACAGATTTGCACCAAAGCTTTGACACATTTTTCTCATTCTAGGTTGAGAAGTGTCCAGGAGAAAGAGGGAAAAAAAAAAGAAAAGGAAAAATTAAGAATGTTACTAAACCCTAAAAATGGCAATAACCCACCCATTTAAGACACTCTTACCTGGGATCTTGGAAAGAAGACTCAAATTCAACTTCCTTCTTTGCCCAAGAATTAGCTCCCCTATTTTTTATATCCCAGGAGAGTACTCTAAACACAGCCCTACACCTGGCCCACTTATTATTTCCTTGCCCATCAGACCTGCAGAAGGATGGGGCATGACTGTAGTCCTGTGGACCACATAGGCTACATCTCTGTTCGGGGATGCAGGATGCTGTGGTTTAGCTCCCTGTTCCGATTAGGTGAACCACCTTGCTGTAACCAGACTACCCAAGTCCCACATGGCTACTCTGCCTAAGCAGAGTTTCTTACTGAAATCTCCCTGATTTTGATGTAGAATTTCACCCACAGCCTGACAAGATTTTGTGGTGCACATGTTCCTGGGAAAGACTTCTCACAAAAGAAGCATTTTGTGATGGAAAATCATTCATCAGGAATTTTCTGACAGCTCCTGTTATCTTAAATTTTCTCCATTACCAAAACCCCTTTTGTTCCTCAGTACCTTAGAAACCAGAATGAAGATAAATACCAGCATTCTTAAGCTTGAGAAAAGAATAAATGCTTTCTATCTAGTTTAACACCATGGTGAGAATTTCTTCACTGACATGACAGAACAAATTAAGGAAGACATTTAGCAAACAAAAAACCCTAATATTTTAATAAATCAGGACTTTTTTCCCAGATTTAGCATGTAATTGTCATGATTAACACTTGCTATAAATGGATTTGAAGAACTGAACAGAACATATCTAACATGCATCTACAGTAAAGTTCTGACAAATATGCCCCACAAATATTTACCTATTACACCACCAGACATCAACAAAATATAAACAGTAAAGAAATCACTGCAGCATGTTAGTTTGGTAATATTAGTAAAGCAGAAGTAACTTTTATCTTTTAATAGCCAACAGAACATAAAATACCATTTATACTTTCCAATATTGCTTTGAAAACAGACTCCATACAGCTTTCTCACACCAAATAGTTATCAGACAGATTAAAATCCTGAAAGACACATACCGCGTAAACTGCTGGTGGTTAAGAGAGCCCGTGCTTTATCTGCTAAATCACTATTTAGGGTATTTCCCAATAACAAAACATCAATGGCCTCCTGCTTGGAGCTATCAAAAAAGTTATTTTGAATCGTTCTGGTCACAGAACGAGCACCATCCTTCAGCTTTCCAGCCTGTTAGGGAGGAACACGTATAAAATATTTTATGTTGGACACTACTCACAATAACATTGGCAATATTCAGTAACATACTTGTAAACTGCATTAATGATTTTAAAATCTAAGGTAATTTCCTTCTTTAAGTGTTAAATAAAGTCTTCTGAGCCTACTGTACTATGTGTGCTTCTGCCCCCCCAAATGCTAAACAACACAGTAATACCTTCAAGGCAGATCTAATAACCAGATTATTCCAGTTTAAATTACTTAAATTAAACAAAATACTGCAGGAAGGGGAATAATTTTTTTTCCCCCTAAACCCGTGGTCTTCAAAAATTAAATTGATATAGTGCCGTGTTTAGACCATGATATGGTATTTTGGGCTTTTCCCCAAATAGTGAGAGATCAGCAAGCACTTGAGTCCAAATGTCATGATACATGAATATGTATGTATATGCACAAATGAGCATATTAGTTCAGAATTCACATTCTGAAATATCCATGTTAAAAAAACAAGATGGCTTCAACTTACTAAGACGCCTTAACTTTTTAAAATAACATGCAAGTCTCATGCAGTATCCCAGAAGGAACATATACACTGATCTATAGCTACATACATACGAAGACACTGTCGTTGCACACACCGCGCACAAGTGGCACGATTGAACAGCGCTCCAAAAGAACGGTGTCCAACTACCTGAACTAAACAAGAATCTCCAAGAGATATACTGCTACTACAGATACTCCCTGTGGGTCAGACACCTAGAGGATAATGTAATCAGCATGTCATGCAGTCTCATACTTGATTCAAAAACCAGCAGTGTTAATCTGTGTACACAGCACTGACAATGACAGGCACAGAGACATTTTCTTGATTACATGGTTTATTGTGTCTTATGCACATAAGTGTATTTTGCCTGTGAGGTGTAGGTAAACACATGCTACTGCATGTATATGAAATATAGACTGTAATCCATCAGGGATGCTGCATGGTATTATATTATTATAAAAAAGTTTACAGCTTGCATTGTTCATGAAGGTCTCTTAAATGCAAAAGAAAAAAAAGACAAAAGCTTAAGAAAACTACAAAACTAACCCATCATTTAGTTCTATGAATTGTACTAGACAACAAGAAAGAAACTACTCTTTCGTCAAGGATAAGTAATAGTAAATTGGGACCATGACTTTTGGAAGACACTGTGGATGAGGTGTTGGGGAGCATACTATTGCAAAAGGATTTTAATAGGATGCTGCTCCCTTTCTCTCAGACAATGTATAACTTATGACATGCTCCAAAAAACACACTCACCATTCACATATCAGGCAATTAATTGAAAGGAACCCAGAGAAAGCAAAAGAAAGAGTAGGTAAGGAGTTAGATGTAATGAGTATTATAATACTTTAAAAAGGACTGCTTTTCAGTATAGAAATGTATATTAACACATTTAAGGTTAAAATATTTTTTTCCTACCCTAAATTTCCATATTTTTACTTCTAAGTACTCTTGGACTTTGAAGAATCAGACTGACATGCAAGAAATTGAATAATTTCAACCATCAAACTTTGCATTTGAGAAATGAGAATACAACTAACAACTTAAAAATTACATTCTAAAATATATTATCAGAGTACTCAAGAAGATACTGAGTAGTGACCTGGTCAGGTTTCACTGAAACAATGGCAAGTATTGTATGGCTTTGCAAGTATTAAGGATCCTCTTCGAATAGATGGCCTTCTGTCAGGGATGCTGCGTTTTATTTATGAGATGTGGTACTCATTAACAGTTGTACCAGGGCAGGGATCCTGTATTATTACAAAGACAGCAGAGTAAATGTACTCTGTGTTTTAAACATTAAAAATGGAAGTGTAGATACATTTTACAAAGTAAAAAATTTAAGTAGCCAAATGAATGGCAGAAAACTATTAATTCAGGAAAAGAAACAAGTAAGGTTGAATGAGAAAGTCAGGAGAAGGGGAGACACCCCAAAAAATACTTACTGTAGTTTTCCTGACGGTCTGGATGACACTTTTGTAAGAAAATAAAACTAAACATCTTTAACAAAAATTCCACTCTATACTAAAATACAAGCAATTCCCAAATGAAAAAGTCTTGTATGCACCAATTAAGGGTAGAATAAGCAACAAGTCTATTTTACTTATGCTCTTTTTATGTAGCTTACTGCAATGCCTTGTACACATGCAGAGAAGGGCCCTGATATGATTTGAATGAACAAGTGATGGAAAAATAAAACAGTCAACTACGAGTACATAGTATCTAATATGGAATGAGAACCAGCGCATTCTTGAATAAAAAGAACAGTATGAAAAGAAATTCTTGAAGGAATTAAGGGCAAAAATTGCTATGGTTCAACATTTGTTTGTCTTGAGAGGTATCACCTCATAAGAGAGAGAATTATGGAAACAAAAAAAGAACATTGTTAGAAGAAAAATAAAAGACAGCATTAGAAAATCTGGACAACTCAGGCATCAACAAAGACAAAACAAGTTGAAGAGAAACAGAGCATTACACTATCATGTAGTACAGAATTGTTATCACAACATTAGAAAGCAAGGTAGAAACAGAATTTTCTTTTCAGTAATTGCAAAACTAAAAAGAAACAGCTGGAGGAACATGCAAACAAAAACCACTCAGCTGCAACCTGTTTAATTTCAACACTGTTAATAAACACTAAAAGCATGAACAACAACATCCAGTGAAACACATTTTAAAAGAAAGGAGATACAGTGAATGAAACTGAAACAATAGGAGGCAGAGGTACAGAGAGAAAAATGAAAATATTCAAAGAAACTAAAGCCGATTTGAATATACATTTTTCTGAACTGTGATCTAAAATAAAAGTTTTGAGCATCATCCTTTCCTACAGAATGGTGTTATCTGGGAGGCATGGGCATGGCTGAGAAAGGATGTACTGAAACAAGATCTGGTTATCAACATAACCAACGTTTTTATGTTAATTTTTTTTGGTTGGTGGGTTTGGGTTTGTTTTTTTTTTTTTCCAGGATTACAACAAAATCACATTTTAAGAAGAAAATCTTACGGTTGGTATATTAATGACAGATTTTTTTTAAAACCCGTACTGAATACTGCTAAAGTTTTTAATAAAATGTACTTTACCTTAGCTTTTCCTTCAAGGGCTCCAGTTCCAGCATAAATTTTACTGACAGAATCACCATTCACAGACCACATGGATCGGAAAACTTCCTGAAAGCGAGTAACCAACTGAGGCTTCTCGGCTAATCCCAATACCTCCAGCTGTTTTGTTAGCATCTGCAACAGTTGAAGACAACATTCGCAAAAGAAAAATCTTTAAATGTATTTATTAAAAGGTACATCATATTTTTTCAGCATATATGCACAAAAAACCATCTCTGGTTTATACGTATCATTCTGAACAAACTGACACCATGTCATATTTGAAAGGCTGCCTCGTACATGTAACTTTAGCACCAGCATTTCATTGTCTTTTAAAGATAGGTGGTAATATAGGAAAAGAATTATGTAGTTGATTTGTAAATATTTTCATCTCAAAATTCACTAGTATCAAAAATTCACAAGGTACGCTATTTTTGGTTCTCAAGTCTTTCTACTCACATAGTTTAGGATTAGAGCAATTCATGTTCTTCCCCAAAAAGTGTAATACCAAACACACTGACCTCTATTATCAAATGCAGCAGCAACAGAGCTGTGATGAGCAAAATAGCAATGGTTTCTGTCATTCACTCTGTTTTCATGCATAACACACTGCAATCTTTACCCTTACAATCAATACACCTGAATTAATTTTCCACGATGCACACTCTACATTAAATGCATTTAAATCGTATACATGTAATACACATAAATGTATTATTTTACTTTTAAATACATTACTTAAATGTAGCATTATGCTCAAGGATATAGAATGGGACATTGTACCTTGTTTGAAATCCTAGTTTATGGAATCATGATTATTTAAAAAAAGTCAAGTAAGTTTCTAGTGTTTGTGGCTATCAACATAATATTGAAAATAAATATAAAAAATTAAAACTAAATAAAAAAGCTATTTTCAAGAACTTTTAAAAATCTTTAAAACCTTGAGGTGTCCAACAGCAAGAAGGAGTCGTCTAAAATGATGACCATAAAATGACATAAAGACAAAATTCTGAAGGTTGGGCAGGAATTAACAAAAAGTTACCAAAGGAAACTTGCAGACAAAATTAAGTAGAAATAAACAACAAAAGAAGCTTCAGAAATTGGGTGCTTCATCTTGTAATTTTAGGTGGTCATCCAGAGCTCAGTACTTGTTATATGAAGTATCTATCATGTTAAAAAAAAGTAAGAATTTAAATATCTCATTTAAATAGATTTTTAAAATTAAGTAAGCAGCCCATAAGGATTTATCATTTTCCTTCTTATTAATTAGTTTTACACTTTTAGCTCTCATATTTTAGCTGAAATCATAATTTAGCTCTCACCAAGGAAAAAATTTGGCACACCTGGTACAAAAAAAAAAAAAAAAGAAAAAGACAATATTTAGTCCAGTTCTTAAAAGGATAAGAAAGGAAAAGAGAGCTGCAAAACTGTTTGCCATATAAGTACTATATGCATTAAGAGTTTATAAAGATTTGTTCTTATGCCATAGAAAACTACTGTTATCAGTGAAATACAAGAGGCAATGTTTCTCATGGCTCCTTTAAGATAACCTAATTGCTTGCCTCAAGCTTGCATTTCTATCTACAGTGAACTGTTAAACTCCAGCAAACAGATTTAGGACCAGGACAGACTTTAAGGTAATCATTTGTCTCTCCCATGGAAAAGTCAATACAGGACAGACAGATATACAAACTACATAATGCAATACAATGCTGTGAGGTTTTCAAAGCATGCCGCTACTGTTTTCAACACACAGAGAACTAAAGAAAAGAATAAGAATTATTTTTCTTAATTTTAGTAGTCAATAAGAATTATTTTTCTTAATTTTAGTAGTCAAAAGGTGTGACCCCCCCAATGGATTTTGCAGTTCTCGCAGAAATTCCTCCTATAGACACTAAAACAAGAGCATTTTAATTAAATGAAATTCAGAAAACAAAAGAACAATCATTTTACTTAGTTTGATGTTACACCACCCATTATTTTTCACTTTTAAACATGCTAAGGATTTTATCTTTAGGAGTAAAACTTAGTTTATTAAGATGAGTGGAGCTGTCAAAAGTTTTTCAGGGCTGCTCTTTTAGGCCAATCAGTACTATTTTACTCCATCAATTCCTATCAGGTTCATGTGTTCAAGCTGTACTGCATAAGCCTGCAGGCTCAAACCTCTGTTTCAACAGCAAGTCAATCTGCTGAAGCACAACCCTGCAGGACTGAACCCCATGGTTAATTTCCAGCTACTCAATTTGAGTGTGGGCAAAGCCTCAACCGTGATATTGTCCCATGAAGAAGTCACAGCACAGTGCTGTGAAAATATGAACACACAGCACTGGCAGATGCTAAGAACAGTAATCCTATAGGCTGAAGAACTTCATCTAATAGAGTAACTGAATGCAAGTGTTTTTGTGAAGGACTACAATACTACTACCTCTTCTAGAATTGCAAGCCTGAACCTTAACGGACATAAGAAACTGACACCTAAAAAGGAATGAGTATTTTTCATAATGCTGCATGATTACTGTTTAATTACAGCTACTATACAATCACTGCTTCTGTAACTACTAAGATCTGGCTGCCCCAGAACAAGAAAAGTATCATGCTATAAATCAAACTGCCACCTACAAAACGTTTTAATTCATCTTTTATAGTGAAGGTAACGCTACTTTTACAGCCTAATTGCTACAGAAGCATCAGGAGCAGTTGTGTATCTGGACATTGTTTTTCCTACCTCTAAGCCAAAGAAAGCCTGCACGCTGTTTGTTCTATCCAGACAGTCCAAGCAGTTTGTTCTGACAGTACCGCTTTGAGTTCTGTGCCAAGGACAATGAGAGACAGAGAGAGAAAACAACTGAAATAACTCATTTAACACACATATCATCAACAAAGACAGGGACATCAAGATCTGAACCAGAATAGTAAATCAGGGTATTGTCAGTGCAATGTTACTGTCATCGCAAGTATGTTTATAAATGCGTCAGCAACAGAGGGTTAGCTCCAGTAACAGCACTGAATTTTGCAGCAGCGTTCACTATACAAAACTAACTTATTTTCTGCAAATAACATGAGTCTTTCTTCTTCAGTTTTTCTCAATTCTCCTTGCCTGCTCAGTTAGTGTTATGCAGGATTAAGTTTTCTTTTCAAACAATCCAACTAACACACTTCCCAAGAATCTCAGAGGGAAATAATAACCCTTGGTTAAAAAAAAAAGAAAAAAAAAATTAGGACAGTTCTTGGATTTGTTTAGCTAAATTCAAAGTAACAAGAATTTGTGATAAAACTAAAGCTAATTCCAACCCTTCATTACTTTCTCTTTCCTCCCCAAACAAAAATTAAAAAGTTAGCCTCTCCCCCTCAGCTTGACAGATGCTTGAGGCCCCCAGGCACTCTGAACTGCTCCCCTTTCTTTGAGAAAAGCCCATTAAGTCATGCTATAAAGCTCCCAGAAGGATCGTATTAAGCAACATCCATGTTCTTCTTGCCTGGCTATGAGTACAAAATTCTGATGGCTCTCCCAATGATACACACTTATTCCTTACTTTCACCATTCTCACTACACACTTTGTCCAATTAAGTCAGTAAGGCTTAATCACATTTACTTGGGGATCTAACCATAAATTGTAGAAAGTTTTGAAGAAGTTTCTCCAAGATTATTTTTTTCATTACTATCTCTGGTTTTGATTTGAAATACAAAGCAACTTGCTATCTGTGTTAGAAAACAACCTGACATTCTCCAAAGGAGATGGTCCATCAACTTATAAAAACTGTCACTGTATCTTTTATTAATGCAATTCTTCAAGCTATCAGAAGCCACAGCCTATTTTGCTTTCGTTCTGTTGTCAGTCTTTTTGATGGGTGATAATATTATTTGAATCTCCGTCAAGACCAGTTGGTGTTCTCCCAATACAAAGTGTCACACCACTTTTAAAGCTTTTTGGAGAACGGTCAGTGATGTTTTGAGGTGGAGATGGGACCTAAGCACCTCCCCCAACTAAAACTAATCTTATTGAGGCCTACTAAAGCCTGCCCCTAGGGGATTTAATCCCACAGCCGCGTTAGAGCAAGGAGTGGCACTGGAACCCTCTTCTCCTCTCCCACTGCAAGGGAAGATGAAACCCCACTGCACATGGCACAATAGCCTCATTCAACAGTTCTCCTCCTCACGGAGAACCTCACTCAGCAGTTTGCTCTGCTATTAATTAAAAGGAGGAAGGGTGTGGAAGGGAGAAGAGCATG